ATATATATATATATATATATATATATATATATATATATATATATATATATGTTTACTATATGTTTACTATATGTTTATTATTTATATGTTTATTTATTTATATTTTCAATATTGCACTTAGGACTTGAAATTTTATAAATGTATGCTTAGAATTAGAATCAGCGATACCAAAAACCCTCGAAATACTCTATTTTTGAGAAAATAAAAATTTTTTATATTCGATCGTGTGTTCTCTGTCGGGAAAGCCACTTTTGTGGCTCTGCATAAATCTTAAAATTCTGCGCCAGGTGTATGTTACTTATATAAAAACATTTTTGAGAAAAAGATACTACTTTTTTAATGAAAAAATGCTGGTAACCTAAAGGTTAATAGTGACTCACCTACGATCGTACCAAGAGCAGTTGCTCCCACGCCCAAGGATGGCGTTCCCACGGCCCATATACATTGGCTCCTCTTGGACTTTTAGTTGTTGCAGGTTCCGTGGATCTTTGCTCTGGATATCACGTGGCAACAAATTTGGATATTTAAATCATTCGCTGTCAAACGATATGCGCTATAGAGAACTCACATGTTGCGATCTTTGCTTTCGCGGTCTGAAAATGCTTAGGCTCAGTTAATCCATAAAGTTTAAATGCTACAAAGAGTTCATTCATTGATAGATTATATCAATGCGTTCTTATTTACAGCGCTTTATTACAACGTTGAAGCTGTATCATATCCATCATATATCTATCAGATCCATTGACTCATTGTGCCCATGAATGAATGAAATTTCTGATTGAATGTGGTGGGAGTGATTTTCTAACTTAAAAATATTAATGGTTGTGTGTGATTACTAACATGGAAATGATATTAAATGATATTAAATTGTAACTGTAATTAAAAGAATGTGTATAAATGAATTTTCTTCTGATTTTTCTTTCGATACTTCATCTTCAATAACTAACGACAGTGACAGTGATAGATTTATTATTAAGTGTATTAAACACGTGTACGTATACGTGTCAAACACATAAAAATTGATAATTTTGTATAAAAAATAGTGCCACTGTATTCAAATATTGACTTTAAAACACATTTTCGATTATCTAGAATTTCAGTTTGATTATACAAATGCAAAAATATATGTTATGTTAATATTATATATATAATAAATAAAATATTTATAATTTCTAATACAATAATTTTGTGTTCGCAGAATCTTATTTAAACAAATATTGTAACTGTATTGCAAAATCACGTATATATATATATATATATATATATATATATATATATAAATAATAAATTTTTAATGTTTACTAGTCTTTCGATCATGAATACATACTTATTGTCGACTTCAATAGAATTTATTCATCACATCGTTTTTAAACACGTGTCACCAAATATACATCAAAGACGCCATATTGTGAATTGTTCGATGAAAATGCAATGAATTTGTGCTTAATTAAAAAACTCACCCCGTAGCGTAGAGTCTACGCGCGCGTCCTTGTTGTGATTTAGAACGTTCAAAATAGGGAAAGACGTACAATATGGAAAGGTTGAATGAATGAGAAGGGGAAAAATAATTTCTTTAAATGAAATATATAGACATATATATTTATTATAAAGAACTTTACTACAGTACTTATCAATAGAAGTTAACTAAAATGAATTATTTAATATACTAAGAGATTTTACAATCTAGAGCCCAGGTAGAACACAAAGTCATTTAAAAGTCTAAATGATGTCAAATGATATAAAAGTGATGTCATTTTGACGTCAAACTGTACCATTTTTATGACAATTTTATGACAATAATGTCAAAATGATATCATCTTGACATCAAAATGATTTTGTGTTCTTGCTGGGAGTTTGATCTCCGATAATCCCCACACGGGCGCTATGCGTCGTCCTTTTTTGGTACCATATGAAGTGGAGATGCCCAAGAAGGACTTTTTGACGGCCGAATGATGCCTTCGTGTAACATCAGATCGAATTCGGTCTTAGCTGCTTGCAACCGCTAGCAGTGCTGGCCGTTTACAGTGCTAGTCTCCTCGGCCGACAAGCTTCTGAAAACCCCGTTGTCACGTTTCCCTTCGGAGCGGTCGGACGAACGCTCGTGACACCGAACGGCACCGTGGAAGAGCTCGCTAGTGTCCACGGGTTCTTGCCAGGTGAGGCGCGGTTATCGGTGTTCGTGTGTGTGTGTGTGTGTGTGTGTGTGTGTGTGTGTGTGTGTGTGTGTGTGTGTGTGTGTGTGTGTGTGTGTGTGTGTGTGTGTGTGTGTGTGTGTGTGTGTGTGTGTGTGTGTGTGTGTGTGTGTGTGTGTGTGTGTGTGTGTGTGTGTGTGTGTGTGTGTGTGTGTGTGTGTGTGTGTGTGTGTGTGTGTGTGTGTGTGTGTGTGTGTGTGTGTGTGTGTGTGTGTGTGTGTGTGTGTGTGTGTGTGTGTGTGTGTGTGTGTGTGTGTGTGTGTGTGTGTGTGTGTGTGTGTGTGTGTGTGTGTGTGTGTGTGTGTGTGTGTGTGTGTGTGTGTGTGTGTGTGTGTGTGTGTGTGTGTGTGTGTGTGTGTGTGTGTGTGTGTGTGTGTGTGTGTGTGTGTGTGTGTGTGTGTGTGTGTGTGTGTGTGTGTGTGTGTGTGTGTGTGTGTGTGTGTGTGTGTGTGTGTGTGTGTGTGTGTGTGTGTGTGTGTGTGTGTGTGTGTGTGTGTGTGTGTGTGTGTGTATGGATGAGAGAAGCACGCCGTATTAAATGAAAAAAAATAAACAAAATAATTTATTGCGATTGATTACACGCGGTGTGTCGGTAATAGACGCAGACTTAAGTCTATACTTACATCTAAATGCAAACCTAATCGCGGACTTACAACTAAACGCGAACTTATATTTAGCGCGACTCGTACTGGCGCCTGTGGTCTCTTAGGGCGCTCTTAGGTCTACCGTGGACGTTCGGCGACGGCGCGGGCGGACGTATTCGTACTCGCGGCGGACGATCGGTGGCGATGCGCGGCAGTAGTTCGGTCGATCGCCGCGCGGATGGTTTCGTGGAGGATCGACGCTGTGGCGCTCGTGTACTTTGATCCTGGACGCGGGATAGTGTCAGGTAAGAAGGGTTGCGAGACAACCCAGCGGGTGGGGAGCCCAGAGTTCAGAATTCAGGGTAGAGACGGTGAGTTCGCCACTTCTGTATCTCTCGGTTGCTGGAACGTTTCGTAGTGCGGCCCTGAGGGTAGATGAGCGCAGCTTTCCTCGTGTCTGTGTCTCTAGAAGGTAGAAAGGTCAGAGCGCTTGATCGAGGCAGTGAGCGCGCCACTTCTTGTTCCCTAGTCTCTCAGAGCGGATCGGTTGTGAGATGCTATGTCCGGGATGATGAGTGCACCTTTTCTGGTTGTAGCGGTCTCAGGATAGCTGATGTACTTACCGACTTGGAGTCAGGAAATGCGATTGCGCTCGGCTTATATACCCGCTGGCTCGCGCGCTTGGCACGTACGCCGTTCTCCCACTCGAGGGAACAATCGGCGGTGTCGCGACTCGGCGGCGGTATTTAGTAATTTATTTGGCGCTTTGCGCCTGTTCTACGACCTGACTGATGGTTCGGTCGAGTCGTCGTGACAAGCTGGAAAATGTCTCGTCACATCGTTGTCATCTTAATATGATGCACCGTCGTATGTTGCGCTTTCCGTGTTGATACGCTTTGTCGCGTTATTTCCAGAAACTCGGCTAGTCGTTGACATTCGTTTCCTTCCTTGACTATTTTTATTGCCAGTGCATCACCGCTCTGCATCGTTCCTGTGATCTTTAGCCCAGTTTCTCCGTCAAGTATCCGTCTTGTACGTAGATCCGGTAACAAGTAGTAATCGGCGCCAAGAAGTCCGCGTCGATGATTGGCTGTGAGACATTGGCAACAACAAATCTCCAGGGGAACGCTCTTCTTAATCCGAGTTTTGGTTCGAGCGTGATCCAGCCGTATGTCGGGATGAAAGATCCGTTGGCGGCATAAAGCGTGTATGACGTCGGATGCCGGAATCCTGTTAAACCCGAGCGTGGATACACGCTGACGTCGGAGCCCGTGTCAACTAAGAATTGTTTCTTAGTGCGTTGACATGTTATAAAAAGTCGGTGAGGTGCTCGGGCCGTATCATTAGTTGCCATTAATGACGGCCTCCCTCGTTTTTGGCTTATAGCCGCACGGCTTGTGGCATTTCCGTGCATTTTTACCAAAGCGTTGGTGGAAAAAGCATAGCTGCTTGTCATCGTTTTCCCGAGACCTGCTCCTTGCCCAGGTATTTCTTCGCGGTGAGCGCCATGCGCTCAACTCGGCAACTTGTTATGTAAGCCGTCTGATTTGTTCTTGAAGACTTGCCGTGTTTTTCTCAGGAGATGCGATCTCTGCGATAGTTCTGCCGGTGACCTCTTGTATTCGGTCGGCTCGTTCGGTGACTTCAAGGCGATCCTGAGCTCTGGTTGCAAGAGACTTGCATTTGCGACGGCAATCTACCGAGCCGATGAATCTCGTTGATTAGACCGGCTTCCACGGTGATCGGCTGGAGTTGAAGAGTCTCGCTGGTCGCACCGGTTTCCATGGAGA